TTGAATTTATTTCTAACTAAACGGATATGCTATGGAATAATTGTGGAATGTGTGCCACAATAAAATAATTTCGAGGTCTTTCAACTTCCGGTTATATCGGAAGTAGTCAATAATTTCCTTATTGTAAATGAAAAACTGTTGTTTTGTACTTCGCCCCTCTACCTCAGGGTATTCTTTATTTAAATATTCCATTTCTTTTATAAATATTTTGAAATTATGGTATTAGATAAAAATTCAGTTCATCTTATAAGAGGTTATTCGGATGGTTCTGGTGTGTCTGGTACTAGAGTATTCAGAACCATATGCGGGGACTGGATACTGAAGCTCCAAAGTAACGTAGTTCTCTATATTTATATAATTTTTGGCAGATCGAAGAGGATGTAGAAATGGATCAATGGATAGATTGCACTCGGGAAATAGTAGGAGTAAAGGTGAAATATTTCCTATGACAGATAGTTTACAAGTCCACGTTGTTCTAGAAAGGGTCCAAGAACATGTCTTGTCCTAAATGTCCTTGCTAATATCACACTAGTAAGTTATCGTTAATCGTAGACTGAATCAAGCGACAGAAAATTGTAACAGTTCGGTCATACTGATGTATTCTTGTTCATGAGAAAAAGTAAACACAAGAACTACATCGAAATAAGAAATAACAGTACGGTAATCAATTAAAAATACAATTTAGTACAAAAGACTTATTCCAATACAATTTTAATTACCAATTTTCATTGGATAAATTTGTTATTACACTTATTAAATTACTATAGCTGGTGTTAGTTTCTTCTTTTTTCTGTGGTCGAATTACTCGCTACTGCCGGGTACCTGGCGTCATCATCCGGTACCCGAACCGAGTACCCTGCCCATCTCTAGTCCACATATATGTATATTTAGTGGTTCCTCAAAATAATTCCCATCAGTTATATTGAGTAATAAATACAAATATGCACGTACGTATTAATATACGGCTGTTCGTATGCGTACCCCCACTGTATGCATTATAGCAATGAATCCATTCATAAATGAACACTTGGCGCTACTGATATACACATGCAGACAGCTTCTGTACAGCTGCAGGCCCGGTGCTTTATCGTAGATAGACGCAGCCGTGGGATCCAAGTCGTACCCCTATTGCCCACAACAAACCCCTGCCATACATGCGCTACAAACACATCGCACATGGAATAATCGCATGAGCACAGGCGACGGATACATCGACGACAGCTCATTACCACCGGTCGCCCTGATTTGAGTACCCGCGTAATTATTCCCATTAAACAGTCAGCCGGTAGTCCGTCCGTCTCGACCAGGCGTAGATTTCGTGGTACCAATATGCCAGTGGTGGCTATTCAGGTGAAGTAGATGAAGAATCTCTTCACCTACTGCCTGAGTAGTATCGAGATCTATGGGTTGTTCGGAAAGTCATTTCGTTTTTTTTTTTGTGGAAATGAAAGACAGTTTTCGTATAATAAACAAATACTTTATTAAATTATACATTGACCGTTCTGGTCCAACACCTTTTGCCATCTTTCTGGTAGTAGCATAATTCCACGCTCATAAAATTTTTGGTCTTTGCTGGCAAAAAACTGATCGAGGAGGTTTTTGACCTCCTCATTTGAGGTGAAGGTTTTACCGTCTAAAAAATTTTGGAGTGACCGGAACAAATAATAATCCGATGGTGCCAGGTCTGGAGAATATGGTGGGTGTAGCATTGTATCCCATTCAAGCTGTAAAAGCTTTTGGCGAGTGACCAAACTTGTGTGAGGTCTCGCGTTGTCTTGGTGAAACACTACACCTTTCCTGTTGATTAGTTCTGACCTTTTCTGTTGAAGTGCATCATTCAGTTTGTCCAGCTGATGACAGTAGACTTCCGAATTAATCGTTGTGTTATCCGGTAAAAGCTAAAAAAAAACGATTCCTTTAAAATCCCACCAAACAGACAGCATCACCTTTTTTTGGTGAATATCGGCTTTGGAAATGGTTTGAGCCGGTTCATCTTTTTTGCTCCATGACCTCTTGCGTTTGACGTTGTTGTATACAACCCATTTTTCGTCCCCAGTGATGATGCGCTTCAAAAACGGATCATTTTCGTGACGTTTGAGAAGCGAATCGCAGACGTCAATGCGGCGACACAGATTTCTCTCTGTGAGAACATGGGGAACCCATACATCGAGCTTCGAGGATAATCCCAGGCCTTTCAAGTGGTCATAAACTGTTGAATTTGATAAATTTAACCTCAATCCGATCTCACGTGTTGTTATTCGCCGGTTCACATCAACTAATGCCTTTATCGCGTCTTTATCAGCTTCAACCGGCCTTCCCGAACGTGGTGCATCTTCGACATCAAAATTGCCGGATCGAAATTTAGCGAACCAGTTCTGGCACTGGCGTACTGTCAACACACCTTCTCCATACACATCAGTCAATTTCTTTCTGGCTTGAACAGCATTTTTACCCTTTCTGTAGTAAAACAGTAAGATATGTCGAAAATGCTGCTTATCGCTCTCCATATTTAAAAGGGCACCAACCAAAAACTACTGCGTAGAATTAATTGGAATTTTTCACACACAAGCCTTGCTATATGAGCTCTCAAAGCATATAAAAATTATACGGCTTAAATGTGAAGTTGGGTGCAAAAGGATACAATTAAATCCTCTGTCGGGAAAAAACGAAATGACTTTCCGAACAATCCTATTATTTCTTTCAGAAAATTCAGAAAATAAGTTTAATTGATGTTATACCTAATTATGTTTTGTTTTATGAATTTGTATTCCTTGCAAGGAAATGCTTCGGATTAATAAAGTAAAAGGTACAGATTAGCCCCTATGGATTTCGACAAACTAGTTTAAATTTGCATTGTGCAATCAATGTGTGTTCCTTGACAGCCGTTTATTTTATTTGTTTAATACATTCCTGATTTACTTGTGCAGTGTTAAAAGTTTATTTAAAATGGTTGGCACATTAACGCAGAAATATTTTCATTTTTTGCACGGGGGACACTGGCTGTTCCACGTGTTTCGGGATACGCGCCAAGAAAATGGTCCATCAAGCAAACACGACATTCTCCTCCTCAAATCTAAGTAACATTTTAAAATCTGATTCTCGTGGTGTACGTCTTGGTTTGTAGTACTTTCTTGTATGTAAATGCACCATATCAGCCATAACAAGCACAATACTGGGACCACACATCTAAAGATTACTTATACAAGTTCTTTTAGATAAATTTAAACACAAAAATAGTCCTACAAATACATAAATTTTTTATGTTACAAGCTGTGTGATGCCTGGGCAGCTACTTAAAAGTTGAAAAGAGCGAAAAAAGTCGTTGTAAACCTAGACTCCTTTTTTCTCGTCGTGGAACAGAGAAGAGCTCGCAGCTGTTTGACCAGGCTACTGCACCTTAATGGTCATATTTGTGCGTACGCTAAGTTGTTGGTATCTGCCATTTTGAAACTCTTCACCTATTCTTGAAGGTACGAGCCGCCACTGGTATATGCAAGTCATTAGCTCGATAGACGCTCGTCGCGACCGTTTGCTTGAATTGATTTTGGGAATTGACGGACTAAGTTGGCGCTTTTATCCGGGTCATTTCAATAACAATGCATTTCCGGTAATTCTTATCTATTGTTTCGATCGACCGTTTAGGGAAATCAACTGAGTGACCCTGCTAGGTCAAACTTCTAACAAGGAAATATCAAAAATCGTTTAGTATTATACTTTTTTTCTGGAACCTCTTCTTTTTATTTACAGTTAAAGACACCATTTTTTTGATTCCCTTCAATAGAAATTTTATCGTATTGTAAGACAATAAATAAGTTGAAAGATGAAAGTAAATGTGACAGTTTTATTGCGGACTATACCAATTTTAAAAGTCCCAGCTATACATTAAGCTTTACATAAAAGGCTTTANGAGAGACTGTGAAAGACTGAGAGAGACGCTCTCAGAGACGCTGAAAGACTGAGAAACTGGAGAGAGACTGAAAATTTTTGTCTAGGGTAATTTAAATGTTATAGTCAGTGAAACCAAATTTGGTGCAAACTGCACTACTGATACAGTAGATACCAACAAAAGGGTAATAACTAAATAAAAATTAAAATATGGATCACAGAACGAATTTATAAATTGTAAATTCTAATTATGATTTATTATTGCACCAGTTTCGCTCTCTTATTCTGTGCGTAACGTATAAATATTTCAGGTCCTGATGAAGTTACCGTTAAAGCCGACTAAACATCGCAAAAAGCAATAGAATTTCACTTCAGTATCAACACCGATTATCAGTTCTAGACTGATTGTGTGCTTATGGACTAAAACAATACTGTAAATTTTATTTGTTAAAATTATTGGCATACTGAAAGATTTCATCAAAATTTTAGTTTTGAATGTTTAACAGTAAATATTTTTTTATCAATAGTGTCTTAACCATTTCCTGTTCTTTTCAGTTAAAATTGTATTCGTACCACATCCTGTGATATCCCCCAACTCTGTCTATTATAAAAGGCAAATACAAATATTTTATCGAATGTGACCTTGTATTGTATTGATAGACTACGTGTACGTCCACGTCTTAAATGTATTATGTACTTGCCTATAATATTATTTGTATTATCAACATTCCTGTTTTCTAAATCTGATGTACAAAGAAAATTTATTACCAACTAAATATTATAAAATGTAAAAGTCATCAAAATTTGAATCATTCGATTCTCATTTTTGTTTTTTTAATATCGATCAAATTTTCAGAAGCCAAATTTGTTGTTTATCGTTATCGAGAAGATATTTTGTCTCTCACTGTAAACTTAGTTGCGAGTATTCACTTTAAGATCCTGCTGACTACATTGAGTTTATCGAATATTTCGATCAAATAAGTCATTTTCATTTGTGTCCAATTTATTGTATCAACGTAAGACCTACAGTCCGAACGTTCCCTCATCTGGCATCTAGGTATCTTTCTTTCACAAAACTAGCGGTACTTGTCCCTAATATTATAATATGAACCGTTAGGGTTTGGTCTTTTGTTACTGACTTGTTCATGAAAAATATGCTATTGTTACAGTTAAATACAGAATGGTTGCTTTTCCCAGAATTTTGTATACTTTTATTAGGACAAAAACCACCGTATCTCGCGGATCTCCTGAGACCTTTCCGTTTCGCATTTTAATGTTATTATACTCCTCATAAAGCCTTAGTAATGCGAAGCAATAGTTAAATGTTGTTAAAATAATTTTATTGAAACTAACATTGCGTTTTATTGATAAAGTCAATTATAAATTTCCACTGGGTAAGCTTAAATGTGTCTATTTACCTCCGCACTCCTAATTATTCCAGGGGGTTTTGGGTGACCAGTAGCGATAACTACTTTAACAATTAAATAATAAATTTGGTGTTAACGTAGGGATTTACACATATGTTAAAATATAAGTATTTTTGCTTCATTCTGCGGGATACACTGTTTTTTGGCTTAATTTATGTTACGTGAACCCACTTTGATGCTCTTAAGTCACTTACCATCAACGTTTTTTTTTATTAAAAGTAAGATTCTATAGTTTTATAATTAAAGTCACTGTATTGTGCGCGTATCACAGAAGCACTTATGCGTTACGTCAAAAAGTCTATAACTTGCCGAATTCCACCGAACGCATTTTCACTCAAAAATGAGATCCGGGTGCATGGAGTGGTGGGTGACTCATTCCCGAATTCATCATGTACATCGTTTCCGTGTTACTCGATTGAAGGTACATGTAATAGTTATAATTTTGAGCGCTGTGGTCGGATCCTGTAGGAGAAGGTCCTGAAGGAAGAGCCATCGACGGCGATGATGGTGGAGGCTTAAATGCAGCCGCGTGGACTCCGGCCAAAATATCGGTTACACTGTGAGAGCTAGGCCACGAAACAGGACTCGGCCTTTGTGTTTGCGACCTTTGAACTTTCTGATTCGGATAATTGTATGACGAGTAGACGCTTTTGTAATAGGGGTGATAAGAGTGATGTGACAATGTCCCAATCTTGTTCCTAAGAATTCTGCTAATGGAACTCACGGACGGAACGTTGTATTTGTCGCAAACTGCTTCTGCTAGGAGCTTGTCTCGTATTTCCCAGGCAAAAATGCCTGGATCTTTTTGTTTTAATTCCTTGATAAAGGCTACCACCTTGGGGGTTGTAACGCGGGGTTTAGATCCACCGATGGCGCCAGGAAGAATTGACCCTGTTTCGTGGTATCGAGCGAGGATTTTTGAGACACATCCGTGAGACACCCGGAGTTGTCTGGATATATCGCACGGCCGGATACCCACCTGGGATAGTTCAACTNTAGCGTCAGCAGATGAACGGATAAAATCATCCGGGTAAAGAAGAAAGACCATCATAATATAACATTCTTCTTTCGTCGCCGTCGCCGTCGTCTTGTCTTGTATTGCGTTTGTGAGTTGCTGAGCTTTGGTGTCTTTCTTTGTCAGCCGGGCAAGGACTTTCAGGACCGCTGCCAATGGATCCATTCATTGCGGAACACTTGGGTTAGCCCGGCGGAGCGGCTGCTGTACAGCTGCGACGCCTGATGACGAGCCCGGTGCGTTCTTTCGTTCCTTGGTTGCGTTGTTGTGTACGGATAAAGTTTGTGGCCGTGGGATCCAAACCGAGTGGACTTTCTGATGATATAATCGCGCGCTGCAACTGCAGCGGATCACTAATTTTCATTAAACCGTGGCGGGGCCGGTTTCAAACGGTCCAAAATCGATTAATATTACTTTAAATTGTCCAGTGTGGCACAACACGAAGTCTTAAAAATTACCCTAATACATTTTTCTCACATATAACAACCAATTTTCACATGAGGAAATGAATGCAGTTTGTGTTACTTGAACTTTTATCATCATCATTATAAGGTCGTCAGTCCTAAGACTGGTTGGACACGCACCTCCACTAATTCCTATCCTGAGCTAATCTTCGCATTTCCCTAAAAATAGAACATCCACATCCTTAATATTTGCGAACAGTAATCTAATTTAGGTCTACCTCTACTCCTCTTAACTCCTATTTCTGCCTCTAATATGTCTCTGACTGAGAAGGTGTCCTACCAACCTATCTCGCCTATTTTTTATTGACTTCCATAAGAGTCATCTGTTCTATTTCTAACCTTCTCTATCCACGGTATCTTCATCATTCACCGGTAACACCACATTTCAAACGCTTTTAATCAATTTTTCCGCCGCGCCCACCGTCCATGCTTCGAACCCGTACAGCGCCGCGTTCTAAACACACCTGCAACAATATTTTTCGAATTTCTAAATTAATCGTTCGCGGGCTTAGAAGTGACTTATTTTTATTGAAGGTGACTCCTACGCTATCCTTTGCTTTATATCCCTACTACTCCTTCCGTCCTGACGTATCCGATATCCTAGATACCTAAAATCGGCCACTTCTTCTAATTTTTCGTCTCCTATCTTTATATTCGCTCTTTCCCTACTTTTTCTTCCCTTGCATACCAGTATTTTAGTTTTACTATTATTTATTTTCATACAGTACTGATCTGTCAGTACCGCTTCCATTTTATTTAAAGCTA